CTGTGTTGGGAATAGTCATTTAATAGAAAATGGGAAGAAAAAAGGCAGGTCCCAATCAAGTTCTGCCTGCAAAACTCCTACCTGAAAATGTATATTCCCCTGTTTAAGGTATCTATTCATATCTGCTCTTACAATAATTGTTTTAAAAAGCAAAACCCAAACCAATCCTCCTATATCAAGCACATTTCTGAGAGTATAATATGTATATAAATATATATATGTATAGTATGATCAAAACCTCCTGATGACCACATCCTTTTATGTGCCCATTTTATTCACCACACACAACAGGCAATGGCATACAACTTCCAGCAGAGGTGTTCTCTTCCTTACTCCACCAGCAGCCTGCCTTAAATATGATATTTATGCTAGTGTATGTATAGGTCCCATATGAAGTGTGTAGCAGAACAAGTGCCAAGCCTTCAACAAAATTGTCTGAGCCACAAGCGCTGATCAACACGGAAGGGAGACGACAACCTACAACGTGTTGGCTGGTAACCAGCATGGAATGGGGTGATGGAGAGATGTCAGTAATACCCAGAAGGAAAAGAAAGAGACATTTCTTTAGACTGGATTCACCCACTGTTGCTCATGTGTTTACTCCATGATGTGCCTGAGTGAAATCAGTGATATTAACATCACTGATGATAATCCGGTCAAAACTAAACCAAAAACTTTCCTTACAATCAAATAAAAATAAATCAAATAAAAAAGCCAAGACTATCAATAGAATTAATTGAGCCAATATATTTAGCACATGACCAGGTGCTAAAGAGGCTGCTTAACATGGTATTGTAAATCAGATACCTGTAAAAAAAATATTAACTATAGTTTGCCAATCTGGGAAACAAATTGCTTTCTGTTCAGCATTCAAATGATAGCAAGCATTACCTTTGGAATTATTTATTCATTTTAACATACTTATATACAGCGATCTCATTCTGATATAGTAGTTTATTTCAACATAATCTAAGTAAAGACTTCTATGACTTACTGAAGGTTTTTTAATACATTTGAGACTTAGACACTTTCCTTACAAGCCTTCATATATATGATAGCAACAATACCTTTTGTTGTCATGTTTTCCAGTTTTTATATCTTTACTGAGAGCCAACACCATTTAACGATGTTTAAATTGCATCTGAAATGGGCAATGCTTGAGCAAAATATGCCACACACAGTTTGAAATTAATCTAAGCAGCTAAAGAAATTTAAAACATACATGTTTACAGGTATATATATTATATATTGGTGTATAATAATGTATACACACACATGTATTTTAATGTTTAGCTTTAATAGCAAAAAGTACAGTAGAATTCCACTGATGGCAAGATTTGATTGTAGAGTATCCATAGAAAATTGGTGCACTTTTTCTGAAAGTCAATACAAGCTCAAAACAAAATGTGATACCAGATAATTCTCTGCCATAGCCTAAAACTGATAATCCATTTGAACACCTAAATAATTGAATTAAACCCTATAGTAATCAAATAGGCATTTGATAATGAAATACCTCCATTGAAAAATGTTGCTGAGTAAAATTTTGTGTCAGTCCCAAGTAGGTGAGTGTACAACATTTAGGATAAGGCCTCAGTCCTGACTGGAGCTCATAGGTACTGCTGGAGGACAAATAATAAATAATAGCACATGTACTGTAGAGTCTCTAAAATCAGTGATAATACCAAGCATTTTCCATTTTTGAAACACTGTACAAACGTAAAACTATTCCTCACAACACCCCTGTGAGGTAGGTACAAAAGTGTTACCCCGTCTTACTGATGGGGCGAGTCATCTCAATTCTACAAGGTGCTAGCTGATGCTGCAAGGAGATTCCTGGAGGCCTGATTTCCCGATTCCTGGAGGCCTCAGAAGTATGCTGTTCTTAAGCAAAATATTAATCGAATAAAGAACTTGCCCACATCCTTAAAAATGACAGTGGCACAGCCCAAAGCTGTTGGCTTTCATATTTGTCACTTTGTCAATCGCTTGGGACATTCTCCCTTTGAAAAAATAAGGTACTATACATTGGTCCTGTGACGTGCACAAACACGTATTTTTCTTTTTGTAAATCTGCTGATACCTTTGATATCTGCAAAGGGAAGGCATTTCCCTGTGAGTGCATACCTTGTGTAGCAGACCTGTAGCAAGCAAGAGTCTCCCATTCTTTTAATTTTATGCATAAATATTACAGGCTATTTTACTCATTTGTGTGAGTACTCAGTAGTTGTATGGTGACATCCAATTATATATTAAGGGGCACAGCCATATACTTTTTTAGATTCAGCTTTCAGGACCTCCTTTAAAACTGGGATAAGCCTGTGGAATGTACTAAAATATATGTATTCTCTTTTTCCTCTTCTGAAAAATAAAGTCCGGAATGCTTTTGCTTAGACGTACTATAAAATACTCTGTATAGCTAGCCATTGCTTTGAAAATGCGTAAAGAAAAGCAAGACATCTGAACCTGGAAGCAGTCCCTCTTGTACCAGAATAAACCTGGAGTACCTCCACTAAAGGCCGTAGAGCTTCAGGGGTGCAAAAGCAGGCAGAGTGAAGTTAGGATCGGGACTTCCATCCTCCTGCCCATCTGTGGCTGCCCTCTACCAGCAACACTAACGAGCTTCATGCCTTCATCTGCAGGAAGGAGTGTGAATGGCATGTCTGTCAGCAAATCCTGCGAGCTATGCACATACCTGATCACATCACTGAAGACTTCATCACTCATTATGCTAGTGTTACACATAGACGTAAAAAACAGGCAGCTCTTTTGACCTCTGCAGAATTAGAGAAAAAGGAAAAAAATAAACCACACTATCTTCCAAACGGCGGAGTACATGCAGAGAAGTAAATTAAAGGCAACACAAATACAGCACAAATGCAGCTTCAGAAAAACAAAGTGTTTGCCAAAAGAGAAATAACAAAACAGGTAAAGAAGCAGATAATATATGGAGGGGTAATATATACAAAATGAAAAACAAAAAAAAGGGTAAAATTTAAATTATTTCAATCAATTAATTATCTCAATCATTTAATAAATGTTCCCTTTCTAATAATTCTTGGGAAAAATGGAAGTGAAAAGTTTGAAAGCCTTGCTGGAACGCTCCCCTTAAATAATCATAACAGGCAATTTTTCTGATTATATATAGAGTTCCTACATTGCTCTATTTTTAAACATCTGTAATTCAACAGACTTTGACCATTTTCATCTGTGTAGCATATTTTATATTTAATGTCTTCATATGATAAAAAAAATAACCCATACATATTTAAAAATAGATACCATTCTGCTTTCATCCTTTTTTGGGGGGGAAGAGGGGAAAGCAGGTAATTTTCCTCTTGTGTTTTGAACAGAAACATAGCTATCAGCTCTCCTTTGCTTTTCTTCTCTTTTGCATATCATGTTTTCTCTCAGCAAGACTCAGGGACGTGCACGGAGGAAGAAAAGCACAAATCTATCGTTGTTGAGTCACCTGAGGAAACTCATACCTTCTTTGGGTTCGTCTTATAAAACACAGTATCTGCATAACAAGGCCACTGAAAAATGATTAATACAGATTTTTCTCTTTTATTTATCTTTTGTCTGTTTTAAATGCAGCAGGCATTCACCATCGGAATATAACAGCTTGGAGTTTACTCAAACATACAGCTTTTTTGCAGGAGATACTTAACCACATGCCTAACCTTAAGAATGTAAATACTTTCATTTAAATCAATGTGAAAAAAAAAAAATGGGATAAAGTTAGACATGCTTTGATAATTGAGGTTATTGAAAAAAAAGACAAAACAAAACTATGTGTTTAAACATATAGGTTATGTCATTTGGAATGAACGGATGCGAGTTATCAATTTTTTTCCTTTTTGTATTTTAGAATTTGAACTGCTCCTGATAAATTTGTTCACAAATTTTATCATGCAGTGTATTGTGAATATTAGGCAGATGTTTAAACAACCTGAAAAGGAGGCTTTTTCATTAGACAGTACAGGGTAAATGTTCAGAAAGCAGTCAATTTGAAACAGTAGTCATTCCGAAGTCTGTTTTCCCCCCTCAAAAATATTTTTTGGTGTCTTTTTTTGTTCTACTACCTTGGGATAAATGTTCTTAAAATTTATTTTCATTGGAAAAGAGATTTTAATAATTCTATCCCTTTACACTGTTAATATAAATTAGAAAAACGTTTGAATATACGGTGTCGACCTTACTCTGATTTTCAGATGCAACGATTAGAAGTCATTGACACCAATCTACCACAAGTGACCTTAGTCTCATATCTTGTTCTGTTATTAGAGTAATCAAGGAACGCAATTCAGAAATAATATTACATCCTGCATTTTATTCAATTCCATATGACAAAAATAGTAACCTAGACTAAGACATCCATTTCAATCAGTAGATGTGTCAAGCCAACAAGATTTAATAATAAAAAATATTGGATCTAGGTAACAATTCCCAGCTGTTTCAGGGAGGCTCCTAGCCCTACATGGTATCACAGTATAAAAATAGTGTCTCTCTTCACCATGCAGAGAGGAATAGCCTAGCCCTGAATACAAAATGGGGTCAGTCTTACTGTACCATCGTCAACCGTCTTATTTACAACACTTTACATATTTTTTCTCTTTTTCCTTTTTCATTTTTTCTTCTCTGTTTTTCTTTTTTTTTTTTTTTAATTTTTTTCCTTTTTTTTAAGTTATACACATTCTTTAGGGAATAGAGATAACACTACATGGTACCAAATACTAACAAAAAAAAGTCACACCAAAAATTACACTGATAAATAAAAACATTCAATTGCTGAAATACAGCAACATTAAGCCACCTCAGTTTTCTTTTTCTAATGCTTGGAAACACCCCTAACCACCCACACACTGTGGCAAAAAAAATATGTTATATTGCAGAGGTGTTACAGATATATAATTTTGCTCAGATATAGATATATATTTATATCTATATATTTCTATCTCATCATTGTAGAAAATGGAGCTGTAGAGTTCATTGTTCATTTCCAACAGAAACAAACAGCTAATAAGTCTTTGAACCTCTTTTCACTCCATTACATGATGGCAGAAATAGTCCATCCTCTTACAGTAATGGTTTCTGTTTTATAAGAAAGATTGTCCTATTTTTCAGTCTCAACTGAGAAGACCTCACTGTCTGATTTGTTCTTCAGGGGCATAAAACTCCTTGCGCTGTTACCCAGCTACCCATAATGTCCCTCAAGCAATTCTGCTGGACGGAAGTTCAGAGTGTCAACTCCACCATGCTTGTAATGCACAAAAATGAGGTAGTACACAAAACATTTACTGTTCAAGTTTTGATTAAGCCCCAGTCTCCTCAGCATCCCCAGCTTATGAGTGGAACCATTCCCATTGTTTACTCAGCATAATTCCAACAATGCAATCAACGTAAAATTATATTTGATTAATCAGAGTACATTGTGCTTTGGAGCAATCTGAAAAGCTAATCAGACAGTTGGAAATAAATACAGAGCATTTGTGTGTTACTACTGCTCACGCTGCCCAAAAGTTCTTTTTATTGTCCCCACTGTTATTAGGGAGTCAGCATCTTTCTCATGGTTATGTGTGAAAGAGACAGAACAGATTACAGGAAAATTAAACCTACATAATGTTCTTCTTCCTCTATCCTAGACTTGTATTAATATCACACTTCTAAGATAAATGTATCAGAATTCTGTCAGGGGTGGTCACATTTTTATGTGGGCGTCATAGAGAAGTTAAATGAATCATTTCCATTTAAGAAACAGCAGTCCCCATATTTCCTAAGGATCTGACAGTTCTCTGCAATCTTTTGCTTAGTTGATTGAGATCTCTCATTGTTTGAGCTTAAAACAAAACATAAACTGCAACAGGGTCCTCCTCCTTATTCCTCAAGTCAAAGTACTATTTATAAAATAGTTTACATCTTTGTTCAATTTCAAATTATAGACAAACCTCCCTAATACAAAATACTAAAAGTGCAATAGTATAAATTAAGAGTTTGCAACCACATTATACAAACATTACCTTTTTATTGTACAGCTTTGATAACACGGAATATTTACTCACAACTGTTTATAATGTTGTGAATAATATATGGTGCTAAGGTTTGTCTGTAACTTGTTTTCCAATCATTGAGCTAAAATTCACACTACATTTTTTTTTTTTTCATTTAATAGAACAACTGTCCACATAGCAGCTACAAATATTTAAATAAAAAAAGTTTTGTTACTGACAGGTACTTGCACATGAAAAGCATGCTATCTTTCCCAATAAAACTTCACAATTTTGCCTGCATTGAAAGGAACCACTTATTCATAGTAAAACAAAACTTGCTTTAAAAAAAAAAAAAAAAGGGAAAAGAAAAAAGAAAAATCACATAGCCAGATGTATTTTGCAGTACAAAAGCTTCATTTAAGTTTGGGGCTAGTATATTGTCTGTTACCCGCATAGTCTTAACATTATAAATACTACAGACAAGGATACTGTAATAATACACAGCATTGGGGTACTAAATCACTTATTTAAGATTAAGATTCCTAAAAACATTGTCCAAGTTGCTAACTAATTTGAACAAAACCAGCAAATAAGTGTGACAGAATGCCATAATGAAGCCCCCCTTTCTCAGGTGATAGTAAGTTTTGTAAGAAGCAAAGTGAATGTAGACTAGCCTCTTTCTGTTTCTAATGAAGTTATCCCATGACTGGTTTGTTTTCTGTTAAATTAAAAGGTGTCAAAGTTCTCAGTAACAGTCAAACTCACTGTTGAAAGAAGTACCATGCAGATCTTGCAAGACAACTTTTCAGCAGCCACAAAGTTACGTATTTCTGCTATGGGTAAAACTTTAAAGGGAACCTATGCATTTAGGTCAGGAAACTAATGCTTAGCTTCAAAAGCTGTACATGGAACAGGACAAGTGTTGTGTCGAGTAGAGGTCCAACAGTTATTCGGAATGAATGCTTTTAATTTATGCCAATCTCTTTATTATCCTCAATAAATCTGGTGAATGGACGACTGGCTCCCGTTTCAGAACTTGCTTTGTCCAGACTGACAATGGGAGGGCTGCTGCCTGTGCGAGCTTTGTCCATGCCACCGGTAAGGTTACTTAGAGGCGGGATGGCGCCTCCGCCTAGACTTACTGGGAGCTGAGGAATGCCTCCGTTCTGTATGACAGAAATCTCATTGTTCTTCATAGCAAGTCCATTAGTGATAGCTGCAGCATATTGGTTCCAAAAATTGGGGTCAACATTCATGGCCCGAGCTGCCAAATCCTTCTGGAACATCTCGGAGAACTTGAGAGCATCGCCACCGAGCAAAGCCATGGGGTTTTCCACGGAGAGGCGTCGGCCACGGCGTGCAGGGGCGTTATTCCACATGTGAGTTCCCATGTGAACCTGCAGAGTGAACAGGGACAAGAAGCACACCCAAGTTAGCACATTCTGGTGAGGCGTCTAGCCTGAAATGCTGTTACTTACAGTAGCGCTTGCTTTTTTAAAAAAATGCCTTTTAATTCACATTGAAAAAAAAACAACTCCAGTAAAAACAGAGTTCTAAGGTCCAGTCAGCCCACACAAAGAAAACCCAGTTCCATAGTAGTTTTTCAATGTGCATTTGCTTCTTCTCAGTGAAATCAAAGAGCGCTGCAAGACTAAAGGGTACATACTCTCTTGGGTTAGACAATTTCACATGCAAGCTGGAAGTCCTCATGTGCTGAAGATTACCGAGGGCATTACTCATACATACTAGGAGATGGGTGGTTTTTCCCTTTTTCTTTTTTCATGCTGTTTTCATGTTTTATCTTGTGTCAGAAGCACTAATTAATTTGCTAAATTTAGTATTTTTAAAAAGGACATTTAAAATGTCTTCCCCAGGCTGTGTCCTGATGGTTTAACCAAATGGCAGGAATAGGAGCCATCAGTCCTGTAGTAACCCACTGTAAATCTGTGAGAAACAGCTTTCTACTCTGCAATGGCTGCAAAGTAGAATAGAAAATAGAAACTGGGGGGGCACCCAAGGAGCTGAGAAAGCTCTGTGTTTCTGGTTTATAGCAAGGTTATTTTGCATTGATGGTCCACAAGAACTCTCAGAACACGTCCATCAGCTGACTGGGTGTGCCATCGCATCTGTCAGAAATACAACATGCCTGCATGTACACCTGGAACCAGTTTAAAAGTTCACATCACTGCCACTTTCCAGTCCTTATCATCCTCACGGTGGAAGCATAGTGACTGCCACAGTACAGCAAGCATTTCCTTGAAGCTCCCTTCTCACCTGTCCTTGGAACAAACGCTTAGCACTAAAACTTGCTGAGTTCAAGAGCAGAGCTCTTTAACCACCCCCGCCCCAAGCCTTTACAGTTTTATGTGGCCTCTTACCTTAAGATTCCCCTTTGTGGTAAAAGCTCTACCACAGATTGTGCAACCAAACGGTTTTTCACCGGTATGGGTGCGCTCGTGTATCTGCAGTGCACTTGCTGAGGAGAAGGTCTTCCCGCACGACTGACAGTTGTGCTGCTTGGGAGTCCGGCGAGGGGGGGGTGCCAGCATAGGGGTGATCCCCGGACTCATCACTGTCTGTGGTGCAGCAGGAACCTGGATTCCAGCTGGAAGCGAGGGAACCTCACCCAAAGAGATCGGCTTGCTGTGACCATTCACTTCCATTTTGATCATGGTGGGTGCTGTACTGGTGACCAGGCTAGGAGTACTTTGGCTGGGACCTAGAGTAAAGTTGGGTTCAAATAACTGAGAAGGCAGCTCTTTTAATTTGTGCGTCAGTAAGTGCTGTTTTAAATTACCCATAGTGGAACACCCACGACTGCAGACTGTACAAACAAATGGACGTTCTTTAGTATGGCTGCGGTAGTGAATTTCCAATGCACTCTTACAAGCAAAAGGCTTGCCACAGATATTACAAACAGTACTTTTAAACTTACCACGTTCTCTGTTCAGGAACAGCAGACTAAAAGGAGCCTCCTCTTTGATGACCGGTCTTCCTGGGTTGGTGGATGTCAGATCTAATGCGCCTCCATTTTCAGCTGTGGGTGGCGGACTGTCCGGTTTTTCTGTCTTTAATTGTATTTCTTGTGGCTCTTCCTGGTTACTGAGACCGGGGGACTTTGATCTGAAACTTTCACTGTTGCTATTCACAGGAGACAAAGCTTGCATGGAAGAAGAAGACTCTGACATTGCAGGGCTGCCTGCACTCTGGCTTTCAAGATCACCAACGGCTGATGAGGAGTCATTGCTCAAATGGTCACTTTCCCCTGATCCATTTTCTATGGATTTTAAACTGGTCAGCTGCTGACAGTTCATGACAGAATCAATCATTTTCATTTGATTCTCCAAAGCAGCAATACTGGAGATCACAGAAGGTGGTGAAGAAGGACATGACCCAGAGTAAGAGATAAGGGGTTTGGATGAATCACTTGCCGTGTCCTTTAGTTCCGGGTCCTCTTCCATAGAGTTTTCATCAATGTCATCATCAAAGTTGCTCAGTGTGTCAACATTCTTCTCATCATAGGAAAGCTCTGAGTCCATGGCATCCTGGAAGCCCTCTGGTAGTGGCGTGTTTGGAATTTGCCCACCCATATGCATACGAATGTGCTGCTGAAGAACAACCGCGTTTGTAAATTTCTTCTGACAAATGGGACACGAGTGCTGTACTCTAAGTGGTGGCTTTGCTCGATGAACTCCAAAATGTGTTTTTAGATTGCCTTTTGTAGTAAAGGCACGTCCACAAATTTTGCATTTAAATGGTCTTTCTCCTGTATGTGTTCTGTAATGCATCTTGAGAGCGCTCTGACAACTAAGCACACGGTGACAAATGACGCATTGATTTGGATCTGTCATCTTCTTATCAATGTTCTCCACTAGCTGTTGTAGTTTTGAGGTTTCTGATGTTTGCATAGAGTCTAGCAGACCACCAAATGGAAATTTTGCCTTAAACTGGTCAGACACTGCTGGAAGCACAGGGTTTGGGAGGCTTGTTGCAGCACTGCTTTCTGTAACCACCGTAGGAATTGAAGATGTGGAAGCTGCAGAAACTTGCCCACCTGCAGAAAGGTCCCCGAGCCGTGTGCTCGTGGGAGGCAGAGTGACAGATTCTGCCTTGGTCAGAGATGAGCCACTCTGAACGGGCTGCGGGGATTCAGCAGATGCAGGAACGCCTGACTCAGAAGTGTTGAGGCTCGGGGATAGAGAAGTGCATTCACTGGAGGCGGGAGAAGGCCTCTGGGGTGATCTGCTCATAGGAGTGATACTTGGAGAGTCTCCGTAACTGTTCACACCAGGTATAGTGGGGGGCAGCTGGAGCCCAATGGAAGTCGGGACAGTTGGTAAAACAGGTTTACTGTCTAACCATGTTGTTACCGGCTTTTCGGGGGGCAGCGACATCCCATACGGGATTCCAGAGCAGGTGGGAACATTATCGAGGTATTCTGGAACAGGATAAGGGTTCATCTGAATATGAGGGTATTTCTCTTTATGCCTCTGAAAATGAACTTTCAGGTTGCCCTTTGTGGAAAAGCGGTTTCCGCATATGTTACACTTAAAAGGTCTTTCGCCTGTATGCGAGCGGAGGTGAATTTGTAAAGCACTGTCACTTCCAAAGACCTTGGCACAAAATCGGCATTTATGTTTAAAAAAGGGATCCTCGGAGCTTGACTTGGGTTCAAACACTGACACATTTGGTGGCTTTCCTTTGCGGTGCTTCATAAGGGCAGACAAAGGATCGAGCGCATTAGCAGTTGCGGCAATGCTAACCAGCGGATTGGGGAATATTACGCTATTTGATGAAGTCTGAGGTAGAAGTGGGTTTGGCAGGCTGGATACTGAGGTGAGGCTTCCATGTCCTATTGAAGGTGGAGTCGAAGCATTCTGGGGCTGCGAAGCACTGTTAGGAGCATTTGACACAGAAATGGGAGTTATGGACGTAATTGCATTCGAGGAGGAAGGTACACCCGATTCAGGCAGGGCAGAAGAGCCACCGCCAGATATACTGGGTGTACTTGCTCCAGATGTAGGTCTCGAGATGTGCTGGGAGCCATCAAAGGCAGTGGGCTGACCACTGGTGGCCTGCCCCACAATGGCTGAAGGAATGACTGCAGTGAGCTGGACGGCGGCGCTGGCGGCAAACCCCTGCAGCTGGTTGGAGGCCTGCCCAGGACCACCCTGGGCAGCCACGATCTGGTTGAGGGATGGTCGCAGGGGTTGGCGGTTCATCATTGCCACCTGACTGCGGATCTGCTCGATCAGCTGGAGCTGGTGAATCTGCTGCTGCTGCAGGGCCATGAGCTGCTCCAGAATCATGGGGATGGCCACAGCCGTCACCCCGCTGCTGATGCTCGCAGAAGCGGTGGCCCGTGCACTCTGCGAGAACTGCGCGACTGCCACTTTAGTGCTCAGCAGAGTCTCTAGTGTGACATTGGTGTTTGGCATGTTATAGCTTGTCATGGAAGATGGTTCAGGGATCTGAGGTAGAGGAGTAGCTGTGCTTGAGGTGCCTTGAGTCTGGAAACTTTTCTCTGCAGAAGTTTCTACCTCCATTGGCTCTTCTTCTTTTTCCGTGTTTTTTACCTCAGAGCTGTCATTGTTTTCTGCCTGGACGCCTTCTTCAGCAGCTTCACTCTCTGCCTGGTCACTGGGAGAGCTTGCGGGGGAGGGCTCAGGGAATTCCTCAGCGGGAGGTGGAGCTGGCTCATCTTCATTGACAATCAGCACCAGGGGGTTTTTAGTGCAGCTCTTCTTGTGCTCCAGGAAGTCCGTCCACTTGAAGAACTCGGCGCAGCATTTCTCACAGACATTGGTTTCTTCACTTCCGCTCCTGCTCTCGTTCCCGCTATCACCATCGTCTGCTCCTTCTCCCGGGACTGCTAGAAAATCAAAAGATTGTATCAGCCAATGACTTGTGAGACAACTCTCCCTACATTTAAAAATTTTGCACATAAGTAAAATCAATATTTTTTATTTTGTACAAATTGCCCCACTTCAACATATCTGAGGTCCCAGCGTGTGTATTCTATGACTCTTTCTACCTAGCTAATCATTTTCTTAGCACAATCCATCAAATTATGAGGTGCTATCAATTGTGGATACTGCTTCTTAATGAAATTCCATAGAAGCCATTGATTTCCAATATTTTCATACAATTCACAGCACCTTGTCTGTTGGGTACAAAGCAAGCTTTCGATGGGCTCATTAGGATTCCCCTTTACCGTCAAGCTTCCTCATTTCCAGCAAAATTAGAGATGCCTTTGCCACTTCACTTAACATTGCTAAACTAATCTGTAACCTTTCAAACTCAAATCAGCACCTGACAGGACAAACTGGGCCTCTGTTACTCAAGTGTGGTCCTGGACTACCTAGATTTATTATCTTTATACAGTGTTGAGACACCATGAATTTAATGTAATTCTATATAACCTTTTAAATCAATAAGCATTTATTTAACTTAAGAATTTTCAATGAAATGAATTCAGTTATAAAAGTAACAAGGGTATGTAAGCACTTCTAGCATTTTGACTCAGAAAAGGAAAGTCTTCCTTATCCCGAAGGTAGATACATAAACTAGCATTATGTCCTTTTGCACGTTGCTTATATATGCTTTTAAATGCTGCTGAAATGAGCTGTTCTGTAATACATAAACTGGATGCCCCCTATCCTAGCTATAAAATTAATATTGTTTATACTTAATACTATTAATTGGTTCTGTCAGATGGAATATTTCTCTAGCAAAAAGCCACATTAAATTACATGTTACTGCCATTAGCCAATAGAGTTCATTTTAGGCAAAAGAGAGGTTTATTAACAAACTAGATATTATATATTTAAAGTTCATTTGCATTGACATGTTTAGCATGAGAACATCAATGTTGTAGTCAGGCACACTTTTTGTACCTATTTTCATCTCTCCTCATAGAAAGACTCAACAAATTATATGCTTGTGCCATAGTGGAAAACCCACTAATTGGTTACACATGTTTAATTACTGTTGTAGGCAGCTACTTCCTCTGACTCGCGTTACCCTCTTGTACCGAATAACAAGCGTGTTAAATGAACAGAATTCTAATCCACACCTGATCAAATAAATAGCTGCGCAGGAAGGAGAAATCAACATACAATAACATTTTTAGGGTGTTTTTTTTTTTTTTTTGTCATGTTGGGGAGAAGGAATGTAGGTAATTACTCAGGTTCCATTTGCTGCTCTGGACATAACTGCTTTTCGTCAGCCCACAGATCGAGTGACAACAGCAAATCAGTTCGGCAGAAGAGAATGACAGCTGTAAATCAGTTTTTGTTATGTGCATTTGAGTATGTGAGAAAAGTGGCTTTGAGTCTTCTAGCCGTATCAATAATTTATTGTTTTGCTACCGAAAGAAAACGTACTAGGATGTCTATTAGTTTATTCTCTTTTATACTCAGAAAGAATGCTCAGCCAAAACCCTGTGCTAAGGTTTCAATTAAACAGCCATATTCTATTTCTCTAAGAGAGATGTGGTCACTTAACTGAAACAGAAAACAAAAAGAATGCTCTCTGCAATCGTGGTATCCCAAGCTGCACTCTTATTTATCTGGATTTTAAACCAATTTTTATACAATTAGCACCATAATCCAACATCAGGAAAAAGATTGTGAAACTAAAAATAAAAATAAAAGAGCCAACAATTAACAAGTTCTTCTACTAAATTCTGTTTTGATATTAGAATGCTGGTAGTCTAAGCATCCTGCCAGAGCAAGGAATGTAGTATGTATCTGTAATGAGGTTGAGCATGGCTAGAAGCAAAGACATAGCTGATTTGTATTGAAGATAGGCAGAGTAAGCAAATAAAGCGTCCAATACTGTTTCTACTAAAATGAATGGCAACACTTCCATTGACTTTGGTAGAGGCAGGATTGGGCCAACACCCTCAATATCCCATCCTTAGTATGAACAAAGCTTCACACAGCTACAAATATACCTGGAACTGTTAGAGAATGCCTAAAAAAACCAAAACAAGATTGCCAAGAAATTCAGGACTTATCATTTCAACAGAAACAGTTACCAAAAAAAAAAAAAAAAAAGTAGCAGTGGAAAATAAAAGGTGTAATCTTGAGATGTTCCAGTTGCTTTTAAAAAAGAGGTCTTTACAGAACATTAACTATAAAATCGCTTTTGACAAAATTGCCTGTCAGTTCTTTCAGTCTTTGCTCAGCTAAAACTCCCTACAGATTTCAGCGGGGAGTTTTGTCTGATAAAGGTGATAAATCTGTGCCCTGAATACTGTTCCCTAGCCTCTGAGAGCCTCTCAAATTTATTATTTTCCTGTACCTTCCAAAACTGTACTTTTCAAAAAATTTAAAGATGACACTATATCCACTACATACTCATGCATTCATAAACCCAGTGATATATGTCACTAAGTAACAGACATGCATTTTCTATCAAGAAATGATAGCTGAATGCAAAATTTTTGTAGAATTTCAAAATTCTACTGTATTTACTAGTTAAAAAAAACCCAACAAAACACTTCTCCAAATACTACTTTTTTTTTCCCCTTCTATTTTTTATTTTTCCTTTTGGGAGGGGGAAATAAAATGCAATTCAAAACAGTCAAGAATTATTTAAGGCTTCTGCATGAAGTGCTGAACCTGTTACACTTTTTGGATTAAGATCAATAATACATAGCTGTTGCTAGACAATACTAAACTAATCCTTATGGTAAATCCTTCTGTTAAAAACTATCACTTTTGTGCTACAAAAATATCACAGAAGATAACACGATTCACTGCAGAAAAAGAGCATACTGGCAGCAGGTATCCTAAAGCATATGTTGCAAAACCCAAAGCCTCCCAAAGCGAGTTAAGTGAAAAAGCAGACTTCCAAACCACATTTTCGGCGCGCGCTTCAGCTCTCGCAAAGTGAAAGCATGCAGAGTACAGACCAGCGAAGCATCCAACACCCAACACGCTTGCCTCTCTCCAGAGTCTTTCTGAACTAAGACAACTCAAACAAATCCTTATTTACATTACAGATTTACATTTTAAAAGTCGGGGAGACAGATTCTCTGGTCCTTGCTCAGAATCTATGGAGTGCCCTGGTTGGTAGTACCGACCACGCACAGAGAGATGTCGTTTTTCCAAAGGCTTTCACTGGGAACACTTTCCAGTGCTATTTCCAAACATTGGCAGGCCGGGTAACAGTTGTGTGCTGTTGTTGTTATGATTATGATTATGATTATTACTATTATTACAACTACTGCATCCAATATTGCTACTGAGTGATTGCAAAGGAGGATTGATTCTTAAAGAAGCTGCTAACTGTGCAGCTCCCCTTCCAGCCTTTATCTATATATCGGTATTCTTTTGTTTAAGGAGAGCTTTTTCTAAACAAACCTAGCACAAAAGGTTTCAGTAATTAGTAATGGATTCAGGCAATATAGCCATTCAAATATGGCTGTCCTCTGATCCAGAATGAGGTGATCAAACACCAGCCGGCTAATTATTTCAGACACTGTATAGTAATCACAAAGCCCAAATGTGAACATTTACAACCAAAACAGGTATTATTTTATGCATTGGTAGACAGTCTCATGATCTCCATATATCAAAGCTAGTGTGTATAACATGTAAGCTTTCCAAAGCAACCTTAACTGCTGCTGCTGCCCGCTGCCAGGAGGTATTAATGTGGACCTGCTCAGCATTTCAAAATAATAAGCAGACTGGTGTACTTGTTCTCAAACTCAAAGAAACGACAGTCTGCATTTGAAATATAATTTGTGAAAAAGTACATGAGGAATGCAGTAGTATAGCTAAATTCTCGGATAATCAGTGCTCAGCTCTGCTCTCAGTGAAGTAAATGGCTAGTTTTGTGCTGTCACAGTGAGAACAGGCTCCTGCCTGTACTAAGTGGAGACCTATAGCTCTGTTTTGCATTTCTCCTTCCCTCAACTCCCGTACCTTAAAAATAGTGAGAATACTTTTCAAATGACCGATCCAAGTTCATTCACCTCATCATCTATCTGCCTTGAAATAGTCAAGGACTCCTTTAGAAAAATATTTCAAATAATTCCAAGGAGTTGCTAGGGGTTTTCTTCCGCCCAGCTCAACCTTAAACTAAACATACTATTAATATCACTGCAGTACTTTCCACTTAGGATAAATTATTCTGGCTTTTTAAAAAAAGCATCAAACAAATCTCTCTCAAAGCTTCACTTCCTTGGACAGGCAGGCAAGCAGGTGACACAAATGGCATGAAAGTAAATGCTGCTTTGCCATGGGTGACGGTACTTTCCTGCACAGCACGCTGAGGCTACTAAGACGCTTCACAGAACGACAGCCTGTGGTCTCAATCCAACAAGTCCTACTCAAATGAGTAGCTTTAACCTACATCTGAAACAGTGCTGAATTAAATAAGATTCAAAGAATATAAACTAGCCATGCAAACAAGCACTTCCAAGGGTAGAAAAAGAAAAACTAGAAAAAAACAACTGATACATATTTTGCAATGTACTGGACAAATAGACATCACCTCTGTATTTCACAAATTTCTAACATCCCTTTAAGTAGTACTTACTGATGTGAAAGCACTAAGGCACTGTGTTTGTTGTTGCTTTTGAAATGTGAGTCCTCACTGAATTCAACAGGGAGTAAAGCTTAAAAGCATTCTACATGAAAGGTTATTTTTGGTTCTTTGTTAAAATTCAGTCACTTTATGAATGACAGAAATCTATACTGAAATTTAATCATTAATTCAGAATATTAAAAATTTTAAATGCTAAAATATTAAGCTACAAATTAATTTTGTTTTTTAAATCACAGAATATGTATGTTGCAGGGAAACACAGAATTTTTCCATATTTATTTATGCTTTATAGCTTGTCCTCATTTTCTGATG